ATCATGGTAATGGACTTAGAGATGGCAATGGGTCGGGCCCTTACGATCCTGTCTCGCCAATTATAGGGATAGAGGGGAATCCTTGGCCCGGCCCAGCCCAGCCCGACAGAGATTTTTTAACCCTCGATCCCGCCCTATCCTCACCCTAGAGAGGCAAGATGAAATCAACGATGGCAAAGTGGAATCCACAAGCTCAAATCAACGATAACGGGAATGATATATGGCTATGACGGAAAACCGAGAGAAGTCGAAAACCGGAGAGGCGAGATGAAATCGATGATGGTGAGATGGAATCCACGAGCTCAAACCGATGATAACAGGAACGACAAATTATGATGGAGATAGAATCGGTATGCTGACTGCTAAATCATGTCGTGTGAGTGGTTGAGTCCTTAGTATAGTTTAGTTAGACTTTAGGGCAGGGGCTGGATTAGGTTTAGGGAAAAAATGGGTATATATATGTAGGATAATTCTATAATTAGGTATAATTTGTATGAGCATCTTGAAAACATAATGTATGTACTATCGGGGCGAGGCGATGGTTATCATTGGGTGCACCCTATTCCTGATGCCAGGGATTAAAACCATTCCCAAGCCTGTCCCCATCCCCGTAAACAACAGGGAATCAATGACGGATCTGGTCGTTGACAGCCAGATCAACAGATCTGGCCTTTGACGGCCAGATCTGGCACGATCTGGCCATTTTTGGCCAAATATCTGGCCGAAAATGGCCATATCAGCACATGGCGGCTATTTTTGGCCTTTCGTGCATCGTTCTGACAATGGCGACGGCGACAACAAGTGGGTGGGCTTGGGTGGGCTGCAATTTGTTTTGAATTTAAGGGTAATTTTGTCCAAAAAGTTAATTAATTGGGGTGAAATAGTAAAAGTGATATTCATGTAAATAAATTAAAAAATAAAGGTATTATTATCCAAAAATTTTATTAATAAAAGATAGAATTGTAATAAAAAAAAAATAACTGTAATAATCTTAGAATACCTAAGAAAATCTAGGGACAATTGTCATCTCTAAAATTTGGTCATTTTTTATTAGAGTGATGCTATGGGTACTAACGGATGGATACTAATCTGTGTACTAACTAAAGCACAGTACCCGTATTATGCGTATAGTACCCGTACTATGCTTTAGTTAGTACACAGATTAGTACCTATTCGTTAGTACCCAAAGTATTATTCTTTTTATTATTAAATCATTTTTAATAATTGGATTATATTAATAAAACTGTCATCTTCAATAATATGTCGTATTATTACTATTATTATTATTATTTATTGACATAACATGCTAAATGTGCGCTTCTAAAGGGAGCGTAAATGTTTCACCACGGCTTAAATAATTGATTAATACTGGGATATTAACTGAACGCCCTTATGTATTTTAAAGCTACATAACCTCCTCTGTGGTTTTCAAAACTAATACACACCTCCTTTTGCTCCTACTTATTAACCCTATACATCAACTAAGGTGATTGAATTGATGATTTTACCCTTCAATAAAAATAAAATGACGAGTGTTACAGATTATCCCTTACATATATTGTTTATAAAATATTATTAAAACCATAAATTACATTACACATACTTAACTTTCTATAAAAATAAAATGTTTAACAATATTAATTATAATATTTGTAAAATATTATTATTTTATAATAATTTAGTAACTATATATCTCCAATGACTGATAGGAAGATCATTTGAGGAAACACGTTGTACTATTAGGGTGTGTTTGGTTTAGGAAATATTGTATTACTGAAAATGTAATATTAATGGAAATAAAGATAACCTTGAAGATTATTAGGAGTGTTTAGGGAAATGTGTTTAGTTGGTTAAAATAAATTGATAGGTATGTTATTAATATGTTTGGTTGGGAGGAATAAATTGGTGGATATATTATATAATTTATTAAATTGCTCTTCTTCTTAAATATTAATATAATATTATTTTTTAATAATTTCTTTTAACCCCCTANTTTTACCCTTCAATAAAAATAAAATGACGAGTGTTACAGATTATCCCTTACATATATTGTTTATAAAATATTATTAAAACCATAAATTACATTACCCATACTTAATTTTCTATAAAAATAAAATGTTTAACAATATTAATTATAATATTTGTAAAATATTATTATTTTATAATAATTTAGTAACTATATATCTCCAACGACTGATAGGAAGATCATTTGAGGAAACACGTTGTACTATTAGGGTGTGTTTGGTTTAGGAAATATTGTATTACTGAAAATATAATATTAATGGAAATAAAGATAATCTTGAAGATTACTAGGAATGTTTAGGGAAATGTGTTTAGTTGGTAGAACAAATTGATAGGTATGTTATCAATATGTTTGGTTGGGAGAAATAAATTGGTGGATATGTTATATAATTTATTAAATTGCTCTTCTTTTTAAATATTAATATAATATTATTTTTTAATAATTTCTTTTAACCTCGTATGTTTGAGACATTGTTAAAACATGCTAGCAACCGAAAAAGTTTAAAATTAAGAAAAACACCCCTACCACCCCAAGCCATTACCGACCACTTGCCACCACCATCGGCGGCAGAGACAATGGTTGTAACAGCACACAACCGACCGGATCTCGTCGGTCGTGCATCGATGTAGCCAGTTTTGGCTAAATCCATGATGGATCTGACTGGATATGGCCAGATCTATAGCCAGAATTGGGTGTTGTTAACAGCTAGAGATCTGGCCATTGACGGCCATGATCTGGCTATCAACAACAGTCATATCTATTTGGCCATTTGGCCTTTGTTAACGTTCAGAAGCTATAGATCTGGTCGAAAACGGCTAAAATAGATCTGGCCATTGTACGGCTATATGGCAGTTTTCAGCTAGATATATGGCTGGAAACGGCCATATCAGCGCACGACCGACCAAATCCTGTCAGTCGTGTGCCATTTCGGCGAAGTCCGATGGTTGGCAACAGTGGCTAGTGATGGTGGTCAAATCCGGCCACCACCATTGGGTAATTTTTTTTAAATATAGGGGTATTTATGTCCTAAAAAGTTTGTATATAAGGATAAAATAGTCCTTGAATTTTTTTTGTAAATTTTTTCAAAATAAGGGTATTATTGTCCAAAAAATTTAATAGTTAAGGGTAAAATTGTAACAAAAATAAGATTACCAAGTAATCTTAAAATACCTAATAAAATTGAGGTAATTAGATTATCTTCTATATTACCAACAATAATTACTATCGGTTTTGGAAGATTATTAGAATCTTATATTACTTGACAACCAAATGTAATAATCAAGTAATATAAGATGACATTACCTCAGTAATCTCCTATTCTCTCCAACCAAACACACCCTTAAAGTAATCAATCGACAACAAGCTTGATGGTGCTAATAATCGCTCGTATATGTGGTCATATATTATTGTGAATTGTCAAAGATTATACTTATCTACAAATTGGTATGTGTATGGGCAAAAAATCGTAACAAGCCTTATCAGGCCCAAAGACGAAACAAACCTTACATGACCTAGTGCGGAGTAGTGCCATGGCCTAACTCAAATCGGACCCACAATAGGATCCATCCTACGAGTCGATCGGTTCATTCCACAAATTGGGCTACTTAAAGAGTTGGACCACTCTACGATCAAGGACCCCCCAATGAATTGGGCCTTGCCACAAGCCCACTTGAACTTCAACACATCAACCCATATCCATTCCAGAATAGGACTCTAAGTCCTATATACTTCCTCATTCATCTAAGATTATGAATTTTACATGAATTAATACTCCTAATCCTACCTAAGGCAAGTAACACAAGTTTCTTCACAAATCAAACTCCATATATTAGTAGAACACAGAGTTCTACTAAGATTCAAACCTCTTTGGCTCATTACATAAACGGAGGTCTGTCCTCTCACAATTCATTCAATCCCAACGCCTCACTTGCTCTCTATTTTCTTGCTCCCAAGAACCACCACATTTCCCTGCCATAGAGTCTAGTTCTAACTACTCTACATCCCATTGCCATAGAGCTGAGTTCTGGCCACTCTACGCCGATTACGCTGATTAGTCCCGCCTTAACTAGCCACTCTTGGTACACCTGAATATCTGAAAAACACCTGAATATGTGAAAAAAATTTGGCATACAATATTTTTGTGTTATATATATAGTTTGGTACCTTACCTGGTCGTTAACTTCAGGGCCCCGACGGATTAGTCAAGGTGTGCGCAAGCTGACTCGGACACCCTCGGTAAAAAAAAAAAAGTTTGGTGATAATGGATTTTGAAAAATAAATTCTTGAATATGCATAATGGAAAAATTACTGAATTTAAAATTGGAAAACAATTAAAACAGTTTCTGTGAAACTATATATTCAAGTATTCATATGTAAAATAAGATACACTAACAATGTGGTTTTCAGACTTGGGTATGTTTGTACATTTCAAATAAAATGATCAATCTAATTACTTAAATTAATTTTGATGCATAAATTCAACCAAGTCAATTGCTTCTTCATTAGGAAATATTTATACACATATGATCAAATGTTTCATATTTGGTAGCAGTAAAGTTAAGTCGATGAAATGTTTCATATTTGCTTCTTCGTGTTTTTAGTTGCACTAGCGTATATAAAATGCTTTCGGTTAAAAAATATCTAGGACTGGGTATTGGATATTATCAATAGGAAGTTCTGGAAGTACATTGAGATTGGACTGGGCAACAAGACAGAGAAGATATGCATTGGCATAGTCAGAGCTCTAGTCTTTTTTTTTTTTTTTTGTGATCAAGAGTGTCTGGGTCAGCTTGTAACTGGATAAATTCCCTTAGTGGCCACTATTATTAGTGTATGTGAAGACTTGAACTCAAAAACTTATATTAGATCTCTTTATTCTTTTATCATTAGACCATCCAATGATAGTAAGAGGAGGCCTAGTCTTTCTCCACGAAGGACCAACTCAGGATAGTTCACAGACATCAAAGCTACAAATGTAATGCTTGACAGGGAATTAAATGCTAAGATATCAGACTTTGGATTAGCTGAGCTCAAAGATGATAAGAACACCCACATTAGCGCTAGAGTTGCTGGAACTACGTGAGTTACAATACTTTTGTTCTCAAAACTTGTAATGTGGTATAATGGTATAGTATTCTATTATGTCCCTTAATTCCAGTGGTTATATGGCTCAAGAATATGAGTTATGGGGATACCTAACTGAAAAGGCAGATATTTATAGCTTTGAGGTGGTTGCTTTGGAGATTGTCAGTGGCAAAAGCAACGCCAGTTACCGGGCACAAAATGGTTGCTTTTGCCGTCTTGATTTGATAAGTTTCATAAGATCAGTATGTCTGTTGCTGCAGCCTTTTAATTGGACCATAATTCCAATTATTCACTTAATTAATCAAAACTTTAATATTAATGTATTATAATATATTAAAGTTTTTAATATTGTGTAACTTATATGTAATAAGTATAATTGTATTAGTATATTTATTTAATTAGGTTATTCTAAAAATTTAACTTTTTCTATTTTAAATTTTTTTATATGTAAAATAATATAAACCCCCCATTATTCACATTTCACAAATATTTCATTGCAGTCCGGGTTCCAAAAACAAGTTCCAAAATAGGTTCCAAAACAGATTCCAAACAGGTTCCAAAACAGGTTCCAAACAGGTTCCAAAACAGGTTCTAAAACAGGTTTCAAAAATCGATTCCAAACCGGGTACCCCCTACAGGTTCCAAACAGGGTACCCTTTTTACAGGTTCCAGTTCTGGTTCCGGTTCTCCACACACAAGAACCGGAACCGGAACCGCACAGTGTCGGTTCCAAAAAATTGGAACCAGAACCTACCCGCACAGTGCCGGTTCAAGGTAGGTTCCGGTTCCGATTCTTACCCCAGGTTCCGGTTCTACCCGCTACTCGTGCTCACCCCTACCCCAAGCCACTACTGACCGCTTGCCACCATCGTCGGTGGAGGAGACAGTGGTTGTAACAACACACAACCGATCGGATCTCATCGGTCGTGCATCGATATAGCCAAATTTGGCTATATCCATGATAGATCTGACTAGATATGGCCAGATCTATAGCCAGAATTAGGTGTCGTTAACAACTAGAGATCTGGCCATTGACGGTCATGATCTAGCCGTCAATAACAGTCATATCTATTTGGCCATTTGGCTGTCGTTAACGTTCAGAAGCTATAGATCTAGTCGAAAATGGATAAAATAGATCTGGCCATTCTACGGCTATATGGCAGTTTTCGGCTAGATATATGACCGAAAACGGCCATATCAGCACACGACTGACAGTCATGTGCCATTTTGACAGATGGTTGGCAGCAGTGGCTAGTGATGGTGGTCAAATCCGGCCACCACCCTTGGGTAATTTTTTTAAAATATAGGGGTATTTATGTCCTAAAAAGTTTGTACATAAGGATAAAATAGTCCTTGAATTTTTTTTGTAAATTTTTTCAAAATAAGAGTATTATTGTCCAAAAAAATTAATAGTTAAGGGTAAAATTGTAACAAAAATAAGATTACTAAGTAATCTTAAAATACCTAATAAAATTGAGGTAATTAGATTATCTCCTNATTTGGTGAACGTGTTAAGTATGTTGTTTATTGCGCTTGTTTATTCTCTTTAACAGCTATCAGACTAGGTGATGACCAAGCTCTCTCAATTTCACCGATCATGACACAATTTTTGGATTTTTAAATCTAATTCAATGTTAATGAATGCTCACCGGTATGTTTTAATAACCAATTTGAGGTGAAACCCGGCAAAGTTATAAGGTCTCGGCTTGGTGACAAAAATTTTAAAATTTAGCAAATACACCTCTAAAAATTCGTTAAGTCCTTATAGGTTTGAAATTTAGCAAATATTCTCCAAATACAAATCGCGGTTGACTGGTTGACAGTAGTGACATATCAAATGCAATCCTAATCATCTCTTGAGCCCATTCTCCAGAAAACCTATCCAATATCTAGATGAAATCGTTTTGATTTTGATCAGATCTCACCAACGCCAACATCAGCATTCTAGTTCAAATTTCATCACCGTTGGCATCAACAACCCTCTCCATCACACTAAAAATACTTCTCTCAGTCTCCTGACCAAAACCTACCTCACCCCACCCCCGTTAGCCTCACCAATCGCCAGCTGTTGTCATTGCTTTTTTTTTTTTTTTTTTTTTTCTATTTTCGGTTGATTCACTCATCGGAAAACAATCTCGTCGCCACCATTGCACTTATGGACACTTTCTCTTCAAAGACCTTAAGATCTTGACCTTCAATTGTTTGTCGATCATCATCCCAATTTCTAAGGTTTTCAGTAAATAGTAAAATAGGTAATCCGGCCCAGTAAAAGCCCTGGATTTGGTTCAACCGGCTAAGCCATACTAGGTTTTAAAACACTGCTTACTACGATAAAATACTAAAAGTATGATAATCTATTAATAAAAAAAGAAAACTTGTTACTTTCTTTTCAAAGAAAAAAAAAAAAAGCAATTGAAAACGTGCTATAAATTGGTGATGCTCAAAATAAAACATAATGTTCCAACTTGATTAGCTTATAGCTAGTTGACTTATGCCTCAATATGTCTTCTCTCCCGTTTCCCCATGTTTTCTGCCATAGCTCCTCATTGAGCTTCCAAATATAACAAAGGCCGTTGACACAGAAAAAGCTTTACAAAGTTTTCTTCTCTTTTATAAGAGAGGCCACAAAGCATGTGCCTAAACTTTAGATTCACTCAATTTCATTACCCTTTTCTGCATTTTTTTTTTTTTTTTTCTCTTGTTTATTTTATTCAACTAAGTTATACCAATTTGTAGACGCCAAGTCAGAGTTTTTGTCTGAAAAAGAAAACTATATGAAAAAGAGGAATCATCTTTTCTTTTAGCATTATTTTTTTCTTAAGCAAATTTCATAGAAAAAGGGCTTAATGCATTACTTTTTCGAAAATCTCACTCTCAAGAACCACTTTTAAGAGATTCTTAAAATAATATTTTTTTAATTAAAGTTCATAAAATAAACATGAAGATATTGTTAATAATTAGAAAGTTTTAATAAATAAATAATTGAGTGATATTATGGTGGAGAAAAAGAACAAGTTGAAGGATCTAAGGAAGACCAGTCAACTGAGAATGGAGGCACCCAAACAGGAGAGCACAAAAACGCGTTTTTAGATATATTTTCAGTCAAAAGTCAAAACCCCAAATGTCTTAAAACAACAGCGACAACAACAACAACAAAAACTCTTCGGCAACTACAAAGTCCAAACTTGCCCCACCACCATTACAACTCAACATTAACTAAACTAAACTCAAAGCACTTTTGTTTTTGTTTTTTTAATAATATCATTACATATATACTTGAAACTATTCCTCTCCTTGATGAACTAATAAAACAAGAATCTTTAGCTGCTGCTTCCTCTTCTTCTTCTATGGAAGATCAAATTGTTACTACTCTCTGCAACTCAATCCAAGCTCTGGGTCGTGGCTTTGATGTTACATGTGATATTAGGCTTCTTTACTGCAAGGGGACTCCTGGGTCCAGGCTTGTTTTCTTAGATGAAGATCATGCGAGAGATCTTTTTCTATCTGATTCTGTTGTGGTGCCACGTGTGTCTGTTGATATTGATTATTCTAGAGGCAAGAGGGGCATTGAGAGACTTCCTGTTTGTAGTTTTCATGAGGTGATTGATTTTTAGAAAGAAAAATTTATTCTTTGTTGATCTGTTTTATTTTCTGGAGTTTTCGTTTCTTGGTTTGTTTGTGTTTCGTGAGCTGAAATTTTTATCTGGGTGTCTTTTAATTTTGATGCTTTATCATCTTTATTGCTGGTTTGCTTGCAATTTGTTGTTTCCTGCCCAAATGAGTATTTGGGTCAATGATATATTATCTTGGTTCCGGTGCTTCATTGGGCCTTTTTTCCAATTGGTTTGTTGGCTTGAGAGTTGGTTTGGTGCCATATCATAATCTTGGCATGTGTCGATTCATCGATTTTGATGGGAGTGGTATGATTTTCATTGTTGATTCTTAGTTAAACTGAAGAAGTGTATAGTTCTGATTTGTTGCTCTTCTGCTATTCTGATGGGGCTAAATAGCATATTTGTTTCACCATTGGCCAATAGTAAATGTAGAATGGTGTGGCGGTACATTTATCATCGGTTGGGAACCATCATAGCGATGCCCAAGCCCGTCTCAAACCTCAGACAATGATTGACTGGTTGGACTATGTGTACTATTTGAAAATATTGGGTGCTTCCAATTCACTCTTGGTACTGTAATGCAATTGAAGCCATGGGCTCCTTCGATGAGAAGACAGATAAAGAATAAGAGAATGTGCTTTATTACTACTATTTGGGTTATAATGATTGTGTCGCTCTCTCTCCATTTCTCTTCCATTTCCTCTGTGTTATCTGTAACTGGATGGAGCATTGGAGATTTCTAATTATGAAATGAAGTTTGTGATCATCGTTCATTATCTGTATGATTAAGTGTATATATAAGCTCAGATTATTTATATAGGGATAAGATTTACCTGAGTTCCCATTTTCAAGTAAGCAATTTGTTGTTTTATTGTTTGTTGTAACTTTTAAGCCTAAATATTCACATTTCACCCAAGGGTTATTAGGTTCTGGTTTGAATAGAATGCCCATCTTGTGTGTTCAATTGTTCATGTCAGTTGGAATATCTCATCTATACCAAACGTTTGGCTTGAGTTTTCCTGATTGCAGTGAATGATTCTACTTTCTGTTGAATTTTTATCAAACTCACTTATCAATATCTCTAATAGTGGTCATTGATGCTTGAAATTCCAGATGGCAGGATACTTCAATGAAAAATCTGGGATATTAGGACACATTCCGCTTGGAAGCTTTAATGCCATGTTCAATTTCACCGGTTCTTGGCAAGTGGATGCAGCAGCTACAAAATCCCTTGCAATGGTTGGAAAATTCATTCCCCTTTATAAAGTTAAGTTAGCAAGGCTAAATTTAGTTCTTTGTGAAGAAATCAGGCGTGCTGTTCCTTATTCTTGGGATCCTTCTTCCTTGGCAAGGTAAACATTTCATCACACCTTCTTTTTGCAGCTTCTCAGTTTGAATTCACTTGCCTTCACATTTTTCTATTTATCATCATGTGATATTTCTTTGGTTATAGAAAGTTTTTTTATTCTACAAATTGATAATACATCATCTTTGAATGTAACTCAAAATCTTTTTGATATGTTAAAATGTAATAGAACTTTTGAGAAAATCACCTAACTCCAATCAATAATCATGTACCATTTTTATTGCAAAGAAAAATTACCTGCTTTTACAGGGCAATGGAGCAGATATTATTTGCAAATTGATTAGATGGTAGCATTAATCTTTGCAATGCTGAATCCAGTTATGGAGTCTTGATTAAGTTCTATTTGGCCTTGCGTGTGCCTCTCCACCTTGAGACTGTCCTTGTAGTATGCTAAAACTTAAGCTTTGTGTGTCCTACGGATATAATGAACCCATGCATTCTTGTTTTATTCTATAAAATCTTTTTCTTTATTCCCGTTTACTTTTTTTTTTTTATTGATGATCATTCTTGCCATTATCAATTAGAATGTGATATTTTAGATAAAAGTTATCCATTATCATATAGAGAAGGAAATTAAACTTTTTTTTATGGATCTAGCAAAAATTGGTTGCAGTGATGACGCATCTGATAGGATCCTTAGATCAATTCGTAATTTTGAACAGCACTAGGTTTCTGATTTTTTGTATTCCTGCAGCTTTATTGAGAACTACGGTACCCATATTGTAACATCTGTAACAATTGGTGGAAGAGATGTAGTTTATATCAGGCAGCACCAGTCATCGCCTTTGTCAGTGATGGATATTGAAGACTATGTGAAAGAAATTGGGGATCAGAGGTTTCTGGACTCAAATAGCCACTTAAATGTTGGCCCCTTAAAATACAAGGATAAGGTAATATCATGTCATTGCCTCTTAAGTTTTCTGAGATTGAGGTTCTTGTTGTACTTAAATATTTGATCTACTACTTCCCTTAGCTTGAAAACATCACAGCACTTTCAGCTGGTTGCTTACACTTCAGATTTTGTTTTGAGGAAGAAAATTTCTTAAACATGCACCTATTGCATAGAAAATTTATTTTTGGTTCTGTATTGTGGGAAAATCTGTAATTGAAAATTATTGCTGTAGGATGTTACAGTCATTTTTAGGAGGAGAGGAGGTGATGATCTGGAGCAGAGTCATGCCAAATGGGCTGAGACTGTACAATTGGCACCTGATGTGATTAACATGACATTTACACCCATCGTTTCTTTGCTTGAAGGAGTTCCTGGTATAAAGCATTTGGCCCGTGCAATTGATTTATACTTGGAGTGTAAGTTCTTATTAAACTCTTAGGTGATCTCTTGTTTTGAATTGCACAGATTTAAACATATATTATATTACGTTGATGACAAGAAAGAATGTTTCTATCCTTATCATCATTATACTATTACATATTGCAAGTTCTTCATGGGGCTGATTCAACAATTTTCCAGTCATAACTCCAAAGTCTCGGAGACGTGGAGAAACCTGATCTTCTTCTCTAAATCAGAAAAATTGTTGAAAATAAAGAAGTCCCTAGTTTATATGATTTTTTAGGTACTTATTTCCAACAGGATTATTTTGCTTTTTGGTTGTCCTTATGCCTTTTGTTCTAGTAATCAAAATGGTGATCTATTTGTTGAACATGTAGAATACTATGACAGGACCATGGTGGAATTGATTGGAAGGGAATCATGCTCATGTTTCTTTCGAATTAGATATGTTTGTATCCGTAAAAGCTGTTATTGGAGATGTTTTATTTTTGTGTTGCTAAATACTAATTGGTTGACTGTCCATTCTACTACAGACAAACCACCAATTGAGGATTTACAGTATTTCTTGGATTTTCAAATTGCTCGATTTTGGGCTCCTGAACATAGTAACATTCAAAGGAAGGAGCCTGTGTGTCCTTCCCTCCAATTCAGCTTAATGGGTCCTAAGCTTTATATCAGCCCAGATCAGGTATTCTTCAAGTTTCTAAAACCTACAGTAGTAGATGTAATGGTGAAATTATAATGTACAAATATAGTTGAAATGCAATTTACTTTTATGTCCAAGTTTATTAGAGATTAAATGTGTCTCCCAACTTTTGAAGCTCAACCTACCATGACTTCATCATTTTTTATTTTTCCATAGCACAACGTAATGTTTCATAGTAGTCATGCAAAAAGGAAAAGAAGAAAAGGAAGTTTGGGTCCTGGGTAAATCAAATACCAAGTAGTGGAGAACTTGATGCTCATATGATACATATATGTGGTTTCTGATCAGCATTTCCGTGATCCACTCCTGGAAATTTTGCTTTCAGATTTTGAAATTACTTGAAGTTGTAAGTCTATAGTAGTAACTTCTGTATTAGAACAAGAAAAAGAAACCCAAAAATAAACAGTAGTTCAAATTTCTGCAGGAATGATCAATCTTCTTGTGTCTTGTGTAGATTTACAATACTGAAACTTTAATGCTGCACCCTCTCTGACTTTTGGCTATGAGAGGGAGGATTTGAACATTTGGAGCATTGCTGGACTAAAACTCATATGTTGTTTCAAGTTGATCTCATTATTTTTCGGAAGAGAAAAGTTAATGTGTAGAAATTTTCTTAAAAGCTAGGACTAATTTAATAAATTTTCCTCATTCCGTCAAAGTGTACCAAAAAATACGTGAACCACAATTTATTTTTTCCTTTTGTCTAGTGAAAAAGTATTTATTTATTTATTTATTTTTGCTTTATGGCAAACATGAATGTAGCCCACCTGTGAAGGCATGTATAAAAACTATTATCATGATGTTACAGGTAACAGTTGGCCGTAAGCCAGTTACAGGACTTAAACTTGGCCTAGAGGGCAGCAAGCAAAACAGACTTGAAATCCATTTGCAGCATCTAGTGTCTCTTCCAAAAATCCTTCAACCCCATTGGGATGCCCACGTGGCTATAGGTGCACCAAAGTGGCAAGGTCCTGAGGAGCAAGACAGCCGCTGGTTTGAGCCCATTAAGTGGAAGAATTTCTCCCATGTAAGCACTGCACCAATAGAGTTTACCGAGACTTGCATTGGAGACCTCTCTGGTGTTCACATTGTCACAGGGGCTCAGCTTGGTGTTTGGGATTTTGGTGCCAAAAATGTATTATACCTCAAGCTCCTCTTCTGCAAAGTACCCGGATGTACAATAAGGCGTTCTGTATGGGATCACAGCCCCTCCATCCCTCCGAATGTGCAGAAGCCTGGTAGCGCCTCTTCATCAATTTCAAATGAAAGAACCTCTGATGATAAGAAGGAAGATAGTTCAGCCCACCTTGGTAAACTGGCGAAAATTGTGGACTTGACTGAAATGTCAAAGGGACCCCAAGATTTACCAGGTCATTGGCTGGTTACAGGAGCGAAGCTTGGAGTGGACAAGGGAAAGATTGTGCTGCGTGTAAAGTACTCCTTACTGAATTATTGATTGATTATTTCTATTTTTGTAGGGTTACCCACCTCTTTCCACCTTCAACCATAGTCACAATTCTTTGCACAGGCGATCCAGTTCTTTCTGTACATTATGTTCTTTGTTATCCCCTGGCCCCTTAGTTGATAGTTACATCATTGATTGTCTAAAGGTGTTGTCCTCTGGATTTTTTTATTTTAGGTTTGTCTAGTGGATGAATATTTTTAAGCATGTTAAATTTATAGATAATTCTTTTCCCAGGTGAAGATTACAACTGAGGTTATCTTCCAATTGATGAGCTTGTATTGTCTGTGGAGATATTTTTGTTGAGATTTGTTTCCAGATTCTTTACTTGTATCATTCTTTCAGTACGAAATTTATGTTATGAGATGACATTGGAAGAATAAAAAATTCATCGTACTTTATTATTTTTCTCTATGTATTTTGCTTTTGACAGAGAACTTCAAAACAAAAACACTGTTTCAGTCTATGTTAGAAAATAGAAACTACTATAAAAATGAAACAGACCAAGAAACCTTTGATGAATTTGGGAAGGCCATTTCCTTTTCAGGAAAAACTTATTCAACATACAAATCTATTGAACTCTTCCATCGTTCTTTGCAGGAAAACTTTAGCTAAACTACAATGAAAAACTATCGTTGCAGGTTATTGAATATATATATATATATACACTGTACATATATAGTTATTTTTGTATAGAGTTGATTGTGAGTTAGTTGGGTTAGATAGTTACTTAGATGGTTGATTAGTTAACTAATTCATTTGTTTAGTTATTTTTGCACTACCTTATCCTTATCCTATTTAAAATACGCATTTGTTTTCCTATTTTGAAAATCTTATTTTATTTTATTCAATTATTTTTAAACTCCCTAAGTTTGTTAATTTAACTAACCACCAAAAAAAAAAAAAAAAAAAAAAAAAAATTTAGAAATTGACAAAAAAAACTCCATCCACATTTTCCAGATTCTGGCCACCACCGTTAGAAGGTGGTCAGAATTTGGTATAATGGCACACTACCGACTGGATCTGACCGATAATGCACCGATGTATCATTTTCCAGTCAGATCCATTGTGGATCTGGCCAGAAAAGGCCAAATCGTTGACAACCAAACATGGCCAAATTTGATCATAGATCTAGCTTTTTCAGCCAGATCTATAGTGGATTTGGTTGGAAAAGGCCATCTCAACGCATGACCGGCCAGATCTAGTTGGTCATGCGCCGATACGACGACTCCGACCACCCTCCGACGGTGGTGGCCAACTGTCGGTATTTAATGAGTGGATGGGGGTGTTTTTGTAATTTTTAATGTTTTTATTATAGGGGTATTTAGTAAATTAACAAACCTAAGGGGGTGTTTTTGTTAATTTGCAAATCCTACTTTGTTATTCTCACCCAACTCTTACTTTTTCAAAAATACTATCCAAAATACTAAAACAAACGGACCCACACTTTTGTATTAGCTGCTACAATACAAAAGATGGGATACAGTTGTAATACACTCTGATCGAATGAATAAGAAATAGAACTTGTTCCCCAATTTCTCTGTTTTCTCCAGTTCATTAGTTTACATGGTATCAGAGCATTTTATCAAAAAATTTCGCTCTTCAATCAGATAATCAATCAAATTAAGCTTCAAGAATTGATTTCTGACAATTCTACATTCGAATCATCACTGAAATTCATTCAAATCATCACTAAAATTCGTTTGAATCATCACTGAAATTTATGAAATTCTGAGCTATCTTCTACATGGCAAGCTCAGCTGAAGAATCCATTATAAGTCCAATTGATTCTAATTCTCCAATGTACACTCATCCTTCAAATACTTCAAGAGCTATGTTACTGTCTGAGCAACTAATTGGGACTAAGAATTATGGCATTTAGAGTCGAGCAATGACAGTCACTCTACATGCGAAGAACAAATTAGGTTTCATCTATGGAACTTGCAAGAAACCTCTTATCAATTCTTCTCTATTTGCACAGTGAGAGAGGTGCAATTCTCTTGTTCTTGCTTGGATATTCAACACAATATCGAAGAGGTATTCAATGGCATCGTTTATTCTACAAGTGCTCATCAAGTATGGCAAGACTTATAAGAGCAATATCACAAAGTCAACTGGACTAGAGTGTATGGCATACATCGTGAGATTGCTAATCCTACACAAGGAACAAATACAGTGGCAAATTATTACAATAAGCTCAAATCTCTTTAGGATGAACTTAATTCTTTGGTTAGTCTACCTTTACTAGATAGTGTTTCAGCTAAGGCGTATCTTGATCACCTGAATCGGGAAAAGTTGATACAATTTCTAATGGAGCTTAATGACTCTTACTCTATGGTGTAGTCAGATTTTGCTTATGTCGCCATAGCCCTCCGTCAAACAGGCCTACTTTGTAATTAATCAAGATCAAAGCCAAAAGATATTGTCTGGCATTAACATCAACTCTGAAGTCACTACTGCCCTCTATGCTCAAAATAATTCAAGAACTCAGAGTCAAAATCCAAAGTATAGACAGAAGAAGCCTTACATTGAATGTGACTACTGTCATATTTCTGGACACAAGAGGGAGACCTGCTACAAATTGAATGGGTATCTTGCTAACTACCAGTTCACCAAAGGGAAGAATAATTCGAAGGCTAAGTGTTCTGCTAATCAAGTGCAGTCTCAAGGTTCGAATCAAAATTCTGAGAATTTTGTCACTCCCTTTGGACCGATATTGTCAGAAGAACAATACAGTCAGATCTTTCAACTACTAAGAAAAGAAAATATTGTTCCCCTAATTGCAAATCTTGTGGGTAATTTTTCAGCCTTACATTCTTGTCTTGATAATCATAATTGGATTATAGATTTAGGGGCTACAGACCTTATGACACACAGTTTTTCTAGTTTGGATTCCCCTATTGCCATGGCATCATCTTCACATTCACTTGTAGGTTTACCAAATGGCACTAAGACTCACGTTAAACACACAGGTTCTGTTATTTTGGATGATGGTGTTCACTTATCAAATGTTTTGCATTTACTAGATTTTAAGTACAACTTATTTTCAGTTTCTAAGTTCATTGCTTCCAGCAATTGCTCCATTACTTTTTATTCTGATTTTTGTCTAATCCAGGATCTTTGGAATGGCAAGTTGAAGGGGATTGGTAGACATAGCCAAGGGTTATACTATTTTGATTCACTTTAAAAAATAAGGTTGAATAAATCGATTTGTAATGTTGTTAATTCTGCTGTTGTCAATTCTGTTTTGAACTCAAATAAAAATTCTACTGTTGACAATTCTGTTTTAAAATCAAATACAAATTGTGCTTCATCTGATTCTTTAGTGTCATCTAACACTCATAAATTGAACAATGTTGAGCTTTGGTATCAAAGATTGAGACATGTTTCTTATTCTGTTTTGCCTCTTATACATCATGAGTTAAAAATATTTCATCCTCATCATTGTCATGTTTGTCCTTTGACAAACAAACTAGAGTTCCATTTCCCAAAAATGCTTCACATACTGACCAGGTTTTTGACCTTTTACATATAGATGTTTGGGGTCCATACAAAACATCAACTCATGGGAATGCTAGGTACTTCCTTACAATTGTAGACTATCACTCTAGGGTCACTTGGGTGTTTCTTATGCAATACAAATCAGATTCTTTTCAAAACATTAAACATTTTCTTCAAATGGTCCAAAACCAGTTTCACATGACTCCTAAATGCATTAGGACAGACAATGGCTTGGAATTTTTTAATCAAAATTGTCATGATTTATTCACTAATAAAGGGATAATCCATTAGAGTCCTTATGCATATTCCCCTCAACAAAATGGTGTGGTTGAGAGAAAACATAGGCACATTTTAGAGGTTGCAAGAACTTTAAAATTTTAGTCCAAAGTCCCAACCACTTTTGGGGTTATTGTGTTCAAATGACAGTCTATCTTATAAATAAACTTCCCACTTCACTTTTTAAAGGTCTTTCCCCTTATGATTTTTTTTTTTTTTTTTTTTTTTAATTCTTGTTATTATGTGTGGCTTAGGGTGCATTTTAAATAAAAGTTAAGTTATCTGTTATGAAATTAAATAAAAATTGGTTTTGATTTTTTTTATGGAAAACCACCTAAACTGGATCATTTATGGGTGTTTGGTTCCTTCGCATATTCTACCATTCTCACTTCAAAAGATAAGTTGTCTCCAAGGTCTAAACCTTCTGTTTTTTTTTTTTTAAGATATTCCCTAACTCAAAAAGGTTATGTTCTTTATTCTTTAGAATCTCATTTAATTCATGTCATTAGAGATGTTGTCTTTTATGAACACTTGTTTCCTTTTACTTGGAATACACCATCACAACCTCCATTTTCCACTCATTCTGACTTCTTAGAATTAGAAACAAATTTTCCTTCTTCTGTTTCATCCCTTGATAATGTATCGCCAACTGTCCAAAATACAAAACCTAATCCTAATACTATACTCCTCCAACATGCTGAACCTAGTTCTAGTCCTATAAACCTTGATTCTCCTATGACTTCTGCACCAGTTTCTCCACCTATTCTGTTTCCTTCTAGAAAATCCACCAGGCTTACCAAACCCCCACTCTGGACATCTGATTTTGTATGTCCTACTCTCCCAAACACTTCCTCAGCTAAACTAGTCAAATACCCCACAACTAATTACCTTTCTTATAACCAAATTTCCAGTTCTTGCAAGGCTTTTCTGTCCAATTTTTCCTCTCTTACTGAGCCTACTAGTTTCACCCAAGCTTCTAAAAACCAGAACTAGATTGATGCTATGTAAAAGGAAATTCAAGCCTTAAAACTCAATCATACTTGGTCTTTAGTTCCCCTACCTCCTGGCAAAGTTCCCATCGGTGTAAATGGGTTTACAAACTTAAATACAAAGTTGATGGCTCTTTAGAAAGATGTAAGGCACGCCTAGTAGCTAAGGGTTACACTCAACAAGCTGGCATAGATTTTGATGAAACTTTCTCTCCGGTTGTAAAAATGGTCACAGTGAGAGTTATCTTAGCCTTAGCTTTTATGCGTCAGTGGGCTTTTTACTAGACAATGCTTTTCTTCAGGGGAATTTGCAAGAAGAGATTTACATGCATTTGCCCCCAGGGTTTGCTAAGCGGCGGGGGGGTGTGGGGGGTGGTGGAGTATCTTGTTTATAAGCTCCATAAGTCTCTTTATGGGCTAAAACATGCTTCTAGAGCCTGAAATCATAAGCTTACAATAGCCCTATTATCTGGAGGTTTTCACCAATCAAAATCTTATTATTCTTTTTTTGTTAAAAGGGACGATTCTTCTATGGTGATGATACTAGTTTATGTGGATGACGTAGTCATCACAGGGAATAATTCAGCCATGATTCAGCAAACA